CCACTGACGATAAAAAAATCACTACAGCTACCTATAAGTTCACCAAAATTTGAGCAGAGGATATATGTATAGCTTTTAAATAGAAGGTTGACTCTTACGCATCATGAGGAGAAGCATTAGCTGCTTTAGCTTGTGCACCAGTTATAAGTGGATAAAATCTGTCTTCCGGTAAAGTCTTAGAAAGGCTCGTTCCCTGGAATTAGAAGAAACTAATTAATTAAATTATACCATGAAAAGCTAATCACTCAGCTACATCTCTATGTAGAGAGATAAATAAGTGAATGGAAAGAAGACCTTGAGACGCAGCCCATTTCGGAGTTGAACAATAGCTTGAAACTCTCGGTCCAAAGTACTTGCTCCCACGGTTATCATCCAGGGTGCAACATTTGAGACAGTTCCAGCGGCAGGACCAGAATTTCCTGCTGAGCATACCACAACGATACCATTCTTGACAGCATGGAATGCCCCAATGGAAAGGCCATCATCCAAGTAATTGGAAGGGTCCCCACCAAGTGAGACTGAAAGCACATCAACCCCATCATGTATGGCTGCATCAAAGGCTGCCATGATATCAGCATCAAAGCATTCACTGCCGTTGATTGGTGGCCAGCACACTTTATATGCAGCAACTCGGGCTTTGGGGGAACCACCTTTGGCGGTCCCATTCCCCAAGCCGAACACATTGGCTCCAGCTACGAAGTTTCCAGCTGCTGTGGATAAAGTGTGAGAACCATGACCTTCATGGTCTCGTGCACTGTTAAACGAGGACCTCAATGGCGCCCCTGCATACGAAGCATATCCTTTGTTGAAGTACCTTGCACCGATGAGCTTCCTGCATGCATGCAGTACATGAGATGAATTAATATGATGGGATGATTATTTAAAAACCATATTCACGGCACATATCATCACCAACTGTAAATCAAAATCAAAATCAAAACCAGGTACGAAGAAGAACAAGTTGACACAGTGTAAAGTAAGGATTATAGAAAAAGGGCAAAGCTGACCTGTTGCAAGGAAAACCGGTGGTGTCATTCTGGCAGATTCCTTTCCACTTTGCTGGAATGGGTCCAATCCCTTCGTCACTAAAGCTCTCTGATTCGGCCCAAACACCTACCGAGCAAGCACCAGAAATTAAACACCAACTGATTTCACACTACCAGAAATGAACTAATATGCGCAAGATTCGAATTGAAAGGAAATGGTGAAAGAAAAGAAAAATTACCAGTGTCAAGATTCCCTATAATTGTATCTTCACCAAATCTGGCCCTTTTCCATAAAGAAGTGGGGTGGATCACTCCATCCTTTTCCAGTAACATAAAGTCCCATGAATGAGTAGTGTGTAATTGTCTTCCTTGGTTTAAAAAAACTGAGACAACTTTTGGATGCTCTGCATTGGCAGTACGTACCAATTAATTATACATATATAATAATAATATTTGCATATGTGAGTTTGTATGCCTAACACTAATGATGAATAGGTTTCATACTTGCGATTTCAGCTGCCTCTTCCTCTTCAAGAGTGGCAGCAAAACCATTGATATGCCTTTTGTATGAGTAAATAATTGCTTCATTGGCTTTCTGGGTACTGCATGCATGCATTCGCGCACAAGCTTGTAAGAAGAAGAAATCATGGATGACGGATTATAAGATAGATACTAGCTAGTACCTTCCAAGGAATGATCCGAGGAATTCAGAATGGGAATCAGTCACACGATGAAGATCAGCTTCTGAGACTTGTGGACCATGTGCATGGGATCCCAGGTACACTATGTAAGACTTGTCGATATATATGATCACAAAACAGAGATTAGTTTTTGACAAAGAATGCAATGCAGCAGCAGCGAGACAGCAATATATATATATATATATAAAATTTGTATTTGTAGTCAGCGTAGATTTACTATTATTATTATAGGGAGGGATTACCTTTTTTATTGCAAAAGCGGGTACTTGAAACAGAGAAAGAATAACGATTAATTGGACGAAACATGAAAGCTTTCCAAACCACATTTTTGCTTTGTCAGCGCTTGCTTGCACTAATTATTGAAGAAACTAGAAGAGGCTCTGTTTCTGAGTGATTATTATTATACATATGTTACGTATATATATATATCCTAGAGCAGATGAAACACATTATGATATGACAGCGGAAGAGACCTACGTTGAAAACAATCCTTTGAATGCCAAACTCTTCCACAACAAAAATTCTATTAACGATTTTCTACTAACTTATCTAAAGTTCTAAACCCAATCTGCTTCTAATCCTTCCTCCGAGATTTGCTCCCTTTTCTTTTCTTTTCTTTTTTTCTTAAGGTTTAATAGAATCTAAATTCTAATTTCTAAATGGGACATTGGTTTGCTTTTCACACGTGTAAATCTGGTTCTCTGCAGCAGATCACTCGTTGTTTGGGCTATTAATTTGGGCCTCTCAGAATCTTGGATTAACAAAGGAAAAAGAATGGTAAACTCTTTGTTTGGGCTTTAATAAAATATTGTCCAAGCGGGACCTTTTCTTTTTCTGAACTCATGCTTTTTTTTTTTGGGTTTTAAAATCCAAGGGTGAGGAAAGGAAAGAAAATGAATAAATTATAATGAGAAGACTTATTTATTGTAGTGCCTCCTGAAACTTCGATCAAATCTCATTTTACTCCCTTAAGTTAAAGTGACCCACTTTCATCCCTTGATCGAAGTTTGGTGACTCACTTTACCCCTGTTGTCAACTTCATCCAAAGCTCTATTAAAGTTGATAACGTGGTAGGGGTGTTTTTGTAATTTCATACACATGAATCATTACACCAATTGAGTGGGTGAAATGGCAAGTTGAGCCCACCTCCACATAGATAAACATATAGTTAAATATTAAAAACCCTACCCAGCAACCAATCACTCCCTCAACCGCCACAATCCTCACCACCCATCCACCCACCCTATCCCTCTATCATCATTTGATCTCTAATTTCTTTGTCAATGCGAAGCAGAGCAAAAGCAAAAAAAAATTATAGTGGAGATCAGTTCCCAAGCCACCCAACCCCATCTCATCTTCCCTGACCTTTTTATTTTTTTATTTTTTTTATAATAAAGGTAAACTTGGAAAATAAAAGTAAAAGCAAAAAAAAATTATAGTGGAGATCAGTTCCCAAGCCACCCAACCCCATCTCATCTTCCCTGACCTTTTTATTTTTTTTATTTTTTTTATAATAAAGGTAAACTTGGAAAATAAAAGCCAACTAGTATGATGTATTAATGACATTGTTTTAAGTGTAAAAAAGGGGACACATGTTATGAGATAAAGGGAGAAAATCCAAAAGAGAAAGTTACTAGCATTTGCCATGCAAAAATTTCATTTCCACTGATTCATTAATTACCAAGTCTGTCAGGCATCTTGCATGCAATAATTGTTGAGATTAATTATTGTTTTGTTTGTTAAGCATCACTATCAGTCTATCAGGCATCTTTTTTGCATGCAATATATTGATTTGAGACAGAGAAAAAAACAAAAAAGATGGAAAAAGGAGTTAAGGGTTGAATTGAACAACCTCAGCCACAAGTTGCAAATTATTGAGGAGTCCTTGCTGCTGACTAAATACATACCTACTGGGCTAGGCTACATTACATGTCAAGACCAGAAAAAGTAGGGAGGGTGAAGCAATGTTGTATTACCCTTTACTATACTCAGACGTAGGAACGTTGTATTACCCTTTACTATACTCAGACGCAGGAGCGTTGTATTACCCTTTACTATGACTCAGACACGGGAACATTGTATTACCCTTTACTATTAATGTAGGAAATTATACAAAAATAACTCATGGTGTGTTTACTAATCAAGAATTAAATTCCACCTATGGAGGATTCCTGTGTTTACTTCACATTACGGAATTGAAAAGTAAGTGGGGCCACACGAAACTAGGAATTGAATTTCTGATTTTGGAGGAATTCAATTCTTGAGTGGGAGGCGGCATTCTAATTCCAGGAGAACTAACCCATTAGGAATTCATCTTTTTTACCCATTATACCTTCACACAATTTTAAAATTTCCAAATTTGTCATCTACTTTAACCTAACAACGATGATATTTTAGTAATTAGTACAACCCCTACCCCAATTCCATATGATTTAGTAAACAACTTTAATAGGAATCTAGAATCTAATTCTCCTTAATTCAACTCTTCCTCAATTCAATTCATCATCAATTCAATTCCTCCTAATACAATTACAGATTAGTAAACATGTCATCAATGTTATGTTAGTCGATGAGTCTGTGACTGTGACTCTATGAGGTAGGGCAGCAGTAAGCAAACTCATTATTATTAACTATAGGCTATTAAGGGAAGGCAAGTGAAGGCAGTTGTTGAAGGCAATTGTTGATGCAGTTGTTGATCCATACATATACATACATATGAAGGCAGTTGTTGATGCACAAAAATGGTCGGACACTTTTGAACCGAACTTAGTGATAATATCACCTTTGGCCCTGCATGCTCTTTGGCAAAGTGGGTAAGTTGCGAAACAAAAAATGAGCAGTGAGACCTTAGGCACCGGTGTGGTACCGGTCGAAGACTCTCCAATGTTTAAGTTAGTATCAAGTATGGAGTGAATAGTGATGGCTAAATAACCGAATGTCGTAGTTACCTTATTTTGGGGACTTGTTCCCCTATTTATAGATTTTGGGAGATGTGCATCTTGAATGAGATTTCGATATGGGACTGTGGGCATTGCCTGAGGAGGCACCGCTTGTCCTTGTGAGAAATCTCTAATGAAGTGTGGTTCTTAGCCATGATTGACTGTCTATGGTGTCGAAGGCTCACAACCTGCCGATGGTACTTTGTGGGACGCAATTGATTATCGGGTTTAGCGGGTCCTCCTCGTGGGTCCCTTGTTCCATATGTCGTTCTCTGATTGACCGGTCAGATATTATATAAACAGCAGCAGAACCGAACTAGTATATATATATATATATCGCTGGTGTTGTGTTGAGTGCAATCAAATCCTTGGGTCTTGGAGATCGCCCATCCGTGATATCTTATTCTTACTTGACCAAAGACTGGAACAAAATGAAGGTATGTATGTATGTTAAGTATGTGTATATCATCACTTAGCAAGCACACCTTTGTTCCTCTGTTTTACATTTCTACTATAACTCACGTAGCAGCAGCACGCTCACCCAACCCAATCCAACCCCATTTAATTATAAATTTGTTGTTTTTGATATGCAGTGTAAGACTAAGAAGATTGTGATGAAAGTACCTATGAATTGCCAGAAATGCCAACAGAAGGCGTTCAAAATTGTTGCCGAAGCAGATGGTATGGCGAGTTAGTAATTATAAGTATATACAAAATACAAAAGCACATGCTCATCTTCTCTGCTTTGACTGCAGGTGTGAGCTTTTTGGGATTAGGAGAGGGGAGAGACATAGTGGTGGTGATTGGGCAAGGAGTAGACGCCTGCAACTTGGCTAAGAGCTTAAGGAAAAAGTTTAAGACTGCTGAGATTATCACCGTCGCAGATGTGTGAAGACCCTAAAGCCTCCATGAAGTGAATATTAATTAAGCTACTCAGCCCTTTTCAATATTGTTAGTATTTGGGCAACGCAACCATGCATGATGTGATGCTAAATTAATATTAAAGTAATGTTTCCAACCAAATTTATATGATCATGATTCATATGATATATAGCGTGCATTTGCCTGCCCTGCCCTGCTGCAAATGTGACACATTAATTAATTAATTGGTTATCTTAATTTTGAATTTAATTAATAACCAGGCTGCACTCAATTTGCCTATCCTCCTGAACAGTGTCAAGACTCGAGAGTCAAAAGTCAAGAGTCCACGGAAAAATGTTGGGTCTTGTGTTGTTTCTTTGTGATCATTAAATTTGTGTGTATTGTATTGGGAATCATGGGAAGGGAGATGGGGATGGTGGGCTAAGCATTGCAAATTTGCAATTGTCTCCTCCTCCTCGATCGATCACAAGAAATCACAACGTACGTGGAGTGAATTTCATATTGATGTGATTTTGAATAGTTGAGTTGAACTTTATAATTAATTTGGATGTGTTGAAGATAACTTAATATGAAATTTAATGTTAAAATGTATGATAAATATTTTTTATGCAAAAAAAATTGGGGATTTAGGGCGGGTATGGGGAATAATCCCCCTACGGAGATGGGGACGGGAATTCCCCGAAACCTATTAAACGGGGACGGGTTCGGAGACTGGAGTGGGGATGGAGATCAAGGACGGGGATGGTATTGTCATACCTGATCCCTATCCGACCCCTTCCTGACCCATTGCCATCCCTGGCACGCGTCGTCCTATATTGTCTTGCAACACAAATCACTAGCTACGTGGAGGGTACGTGTCTACTGTCTTGCAAGTTGAAAGAGGGCACGCCACCTGCACTTTCTTCTTCTTCTTTTTTGGCTCTCCATCGGGTTCAGACTTCACCACTGTGTGCGCCTGGCCTCTCTCTCTCTCTCTCTCTCTACACGGATTACCTTACATTACATGCTCTGCTGATCCTCAGTTTCAATAGCAATTAATAAGTTACAAAACTAACTAATAACTTATTATATATAGCTTAATCAGCTAGCTAGACAGAGGAGACAATGGAGGCAGACCCAGATTATTCCCACAACCAAATTAACCCAACAGGAGCAACGGAGCCAAAAACAACAAGAGATAAGTTAATTTACTTGTCTTTCTCTAATCGTGTGAAGCTCCATAAGCTAACCCACCTAACCGACTACTACGCTACTACTACTAGTGATGATGATCTCTCATCATCATCATCAGGCGGCTTTCAAAGGAGCAGCAGCAGCAGCCACACCAACCCACTTGAAGACAACCCCTTCTACCACCCCTCCCACTCCCATGGCTTCTACATAACCCCGTCCGACGTTGTCCTCCGCCACATCGTCTACGACTACCAACACCAACCTAGTTCTGCTTCTGCTACTTCCTTAGATGATGATGATGCTGATGCTGCCGCCTACCACCGCGCTGGCCCACGACGCCAAATCTTTTTCCAGGCGTCAAGCACCAAGGCTGCTATTGTCACCTGCGGTGGCCTCTGCCCGGGCCTGAACACCGTCGTTCGAGAGATCGTTCTTGGCCTCCGGGACCTCTACGGTGTCCGTCAAATTTTCGGTATCAAGGCTGGCTACCGTGGCTTTTACTCCAAGGAATTGGAACCCCTGCAACTTAACCCCAAGCTTGTCCACAACTGGCACAAGAACGGTGGCACCATTCTCCAGACCTCCAGAGGTGGGTTTCATCTTCAAAACATTGTCGATGCCATCCAACATCGCGGCTATAATCAGGTTTCTACTTTAACTTCTTTAATTACTTTACTACCGACTTGTACATTAATTAATTCCTTGTATATATACTAATAAAGTTGTATATTATCTTTCTCCTTTTTGAGTGATTATAGAATACTATGGTAGTAGCGTTCTTTGCTTGTCATCCTTCCAATCTTAAACTACTACTACTTTCCTTTTTGCTTAACAAACAAAAGGTCAAAATAAACTTGTGTTTAAAATTTGAATTATTGACTTATTTTTTGTTAAATATTAATTCATCATTTCTGATGAATTGATGATTATCTACTATACGTATATACATTTGACCTAGGTACCATAAATTTGGAGAGGTAACCTTTGTTAGATAAGCTGGTGGTTGCTGGTAAATATACAAATTATGGAGGTAATTCGCACTAACACAATATATGCTGATCTGTTGCCGGAAGGAATTTTAAATATGTATCAAGGTGGCTAGACTAACACAGTTGAGCAAACTTTTTTTTTTAATCTTTTTTTATTGGGCCTGAACTTTGTAAAGTATTGCAATTTACTACCTATGTCTAACTCCATTAAAATTTCCCTTAAGTTTAAGGGTATTTTATTCATTTCCTTATAACTAAAAATAAATGTAAAAAAACAGAATTTTTTTATATATAAAGTTAATTTAATTTAATTATACCACACCTTCCCCAACCCCTACCGTACCATACTCTATATTTCTCTGTCTCATGGAATATTGACATGGGTTGTTGAAATTGAATTGCAAATATAGCTATAGACCAACCAAGCTTCAGTTGCTAATGGAATCATAACCCATTTCTTCTATGACAACCCACACAACAAGGAAATTTAGGCTTAGGTCTCCAACTAAGAAGACAAAGATTTGGAGATCATAGAGGGCTTAACTACTTGGTTATTATTTTTTTTTTTTTATTAACTTGTAGTCACTACAAAAAAAAAAATTTGGCACCAGCCACCATTATTTGGTGACATTTAGTGACTAATCCTAGGGTGACTAAAGGCTTTATTATTATGCAAATGATAAAGAAGGAGAATCATACATGTGTGGAATGGGAGGGAGGGTGAAAAGCGAGGGGGTGGCTGCTGGTGATGTGTTCCAAAATGAATTTTAGCTGATGCATAGGATGGATTAGCGGTAATGACATCTTTCTTTCCCTTTATTAAATTCTGTTTTTAAAATTTTATTTTTAGTTATAAGGAACAGACAAAAATAGCCTTAAACTTAATAGAAACTTTAACGGGGTTAGACATAGGTGGTGGATTGTAACACTTTACAAAGTTCAGGTGGTTAAAAATAAAAATTAAAAGTTCATGTGGTAATGGCGCACTTGCCTAAAAGTTCAGATTGTATTTGTGCAAATTTCCCTTTTTTATTTTTATCCTTAGGAGGTCATTCTCATTTTAAGAAAGCGTAATCACAAATTACCTATAAGTAATGTCCATTAAGGTAGGTTACAGATCTTTAAAAATCACACCTCAATTTGATTTATCTTATGGAAATTACATATGATTGATTTATTGATTGGATGATTGCATAAAAAAATGTCGTTTGTACCTACAGCTGTACATTGTAGGTGGAGACGGCACGATGCGCGGGGCAGTGGAGATATTTCATGAGATTTGTCGGAGAAAACTGAATATTGCAGTGACTGGGATTCCGAAAACTGTGGACAATGATGTAGGTATCATTGACAGGTCTTTCGGGTTTCAGACAGCAGTAGAAATGGCGCAGCAGGCAATAAGTGCAGCTCATGTGGAGGCTGAGAGTGCAGTGAATGGAATAGGGTTGGTGAAGTTAATGGGTCGAAGTACAGGTCATATTGCTCTGCATGCAACATTGAGCAGCCGTGACGTGGACTGCTGCATAATTCCTGAAATTCCATTTTACCTGGAAGGAAAAGGAGGGCTATTCGAATTCCTTGAAAAGCGATTGAGGGAGAATGGACATGCAGTGTTGGTGGTGGCTGAGGGAGCCGGACAGGATTATATGAGGAGGAGGGTGGGCATGGACAGAATTAATGAGGATGATGCTCAGAACCAGAAACAGGAGGACATAAGTATAAGGGCAGCTGGTGGTGGTAGAGATGAATCAGGGAACCCAGTGTTCCTGGACGTCGGGCAATGGCTCAAGTCAGAGCTAAACAAGTGGTGGAGGAGGGAGCACCCAAATGAGCTCTTCACGGTCAAGTACATAGATCCCACCTACATGATACGCGCCGTCCCTGCAAATGCGACAGATAACTTGTACTGCACGCTTGTTGCGCATTCAGCCATTCATGGAGTCATGGCAGGGTATACTGGGTTTGTGTCTGGCCCCGTCAATGGAAACTGTGCTTACATTCCACTTGAAGAGGTCGCCAAGGCTAAAAATGAAGTCGATACTAAAGACCATAAATGGGCCTGGGTCAGATCAGTCACCAACCAGCCTGATTTTCAGACAAAGAGCTAGCTAATCAATCAGCCAAGAGAGAGAGAGAGAGAATATCGATCGAGCTAGCTATCTAGCTTTGAAAACAACCTGTGTTCTGTTCAGCTGCTAGGTGTTCAGATGAAGTGAGAGTTTGGATGTAATATTATATATGATGACACTTATAATTTATTTTCTAAACAAAAAGTTGGTGTTGGGGTTGAAAGTGGGAGGAAAAATAAAGTAAAACAAGAGAAGGTTGTTTTGGGGAGGAATGAGCTAATGAGCAGCAATGTGTTGTGTTAAAAATATATATGAAATTCGAATAGGCAGCCAGCCAGCCAATAATCCTGCTGCGATGCGACACTCACTTTGATAAAGTAAAGAAAAATAGAGAACCAAACCAATTGCTTTTTGGGCCTTACTTTGTGAATATTTGCTGGGGAAGGGAATCTGGAATCTCGTTTGTAATAAAAGTTAAAACCAAACCGACGTGTCCAGTTATTTCACAGGTTTCCAGCAGCTAAGCTTTAGGGAGGGGTTTAAGGGGGCAAATTGAAATTGTTACACATCCAGAATCCAGAAAAGCAAAAACAATTTTAACTTCCCAACCAAACCGCGATATAAATATAGTATCTATCCAAATGATGTTGTTTTGGCCTTTTGGAAGTCGGCTGGCTGGCTGGTGGAGGGTATATAAGACATTTCACTAGGTGCATCATCATTCATCGATATCGTCAAGCTGCTTCTACTTTACTCTTCTTCTTGTGCTGTGTTGGTTGCACTGCACTGCCTTGTTTATTATTCCTTCTCTATCTATCATTTAGCAATTACCAGTCTTTCTCTCGCTCGCTCGCTCGTAAGAGTAACCACCCACCACGCCTGGCGCCACCTGCAAACGCGCCTCTCAGCTCAGGCGCCTCTCTCTTTTCCATTGGCCGACCACTTGAATGAATGAATGAATGAATGATTAAAGAGGTGGTGGTTCTTCAAAAGTGGACTTGGGCTTTCACTTTCACTTTCAGTTCAGACAAAATGTTACAAGGCAGGTTTAGGTTGAGAATATTATCAGCTGTTCTGCTTTCTTTAATAGTAATAGTGGGCTGGAGCTCAGTCCCAGTGGCAGAATCAGCCCTAGGAGTGAACTGGGGGACCGTCTCATTCCACAAGCTCAAGCCTTCTACAGTGGTAGATCTCTTGCAAGACAACAAGATTTCCAAGGTCAAGCTTTTCGATGCCGACCCAGATTCTCTTCAGGCCCTCATGGGCAGTGGGATCCAGGTCATGATTGGCGTTCCCAATGAGATGTTGGCCGCCTTGAGCTCTTCCACTGCTGCCTCTGATTCATGGGTTCGCCAGAATGTGTCCAGATATATGCGTAAAAATGGTGTCGATATCAGGTCCCTCTCCTTCTCCCGTTCCTTTTTATTCTGCTTCTTCTTTCAATCTTTTGTGCTCTTGTTTGATGTTGCTCAAAAATGAAAACCAAACTACTTTTTTCATTTGTTTTTGCCACCATCCCTCCTTGTGCTGCTCTGCAGACTCATATCACATTCTCATCTCCTTGTCAAGTGATCAGCTAGATCTATGCTGCCTGAGATATGAGGCTGCAGCTTGCCAACAAGATACTCATCTATTTATTAGGGAATAAATTTTGGTTTAAAAGTTCCATATTAATATTAAACAAGCTGACCTCACAGTATTATTAACCCCTAGCTTAGCTATTAACAAGATGTAGTTATTGTTCAACTAGATGTAACTCTTGGTTTGAAACTTTGAACTTCTGATAATCCCCTGCTCTGCAACGCATCGTCTATGAAGCTCTAATAGCTGGTTCACCTTCGTAAACCAGACTGCCTTTTTCATTCTTCATAGTAAGCTTCTTATAAACAGGACATCAATCATCCCATGGAATATGGCATATGCTTTGCCCACCTTCATTGAGTTCTTCATTATGATAATGACCAAGAGTGAGTTCTTTCAAATCTATTCATTGATTAAAACAAATTATTCAAACAGAAACGGAAACATTCCTAGAATCCCCTCCAAGAATGCCACAAGATAGCCAGTTTTTTGCCAAAACTTTGGTATATGAGATTAGAGAGGAGGAGAAGGGCTTTGATCTAATTGAATAGATGCCTTTTCACTTGATCATCATGCCTTTTCACTTTGTTGTCAACGGATAGTCAGGGTTGAACATTAACTGATGATATATTAGAACTACCTACGACCTTACTTGTACAGGGTCTGTTCTATAGGATCATACCTTTGTGTCTTTGAGTTCGTACATCCACCTGGATATTTAACTCACTGTATAGGAGCCAGACAGAAGTGAGTGCATTTCACGTTGGAATTTAACTCAATTCTCCAATTGACACTTCGATTTTTCAAAAAAGACTTGAATATTTTAAATGTTTGAGTAAGAATTGTTTCTTCTGCATCTGTTTAAACGTTTGCACACGTATATAGAGTTCTGTTATTCAATTCTTGTCTTATGATTGCAGGTATATTGCAGTAGGAAATGAGCCCTTCCTTTCAAGTTACTCCGGTCAATTTCAATCATATGTCATGCCTGCACTGCTCAATCTACAACAGTCGTTGGCTAAAGTGAATCTTGCAAGCTACGTGAAGTTAGTCGTCCCTTGCAATGCTGATGCATATGAGTCTTCTCTTCCTTCTCAAGGGGCATTTCGACCTGAACTGACACAAATTATGACTCAACTCGTTTCGTTTCTCAACTCAAATGGTTCTCCTTTCGTAGTCAATATCTACCCATTTCTAAGTCTCTATGGAAGCTCAGATTTTCCTCAAGATTATGCATTCTTCGAGGGGACAAGCCATCCTGTTACAGATGGGTCCAATGTTTACTACAATGCATTTGATGGAAACTTTGACACGCTAGTCGCGGCCCTCAGCAAGCTAGGATATGGTCAGATGCCCATAGCTATTGGGGAGATTGGTTGGCCCACTGATGGAGCCATCAGTGGGAATCTCACTGCTGCAAGAGTATTCAACCGAGGTCTCATAAATCATGTCCTAAGTAACAAAGGAACCCCTCTAAGGCCAGGCGTCCCTCCCTTGGATGTATATCTTTTCAGTCTGCTGGATGAAGGAGCAAAGAGCACACTCCCAGGAAACTTTGAAAGGCACTGGGGGATTTTTTCCTTTGATGGCCAGGCTAAATATCCATTGAACCTTGGTTTAGGAGGCAGAGGATTAAAAAATGCAAGGAAAGTTGAGTATCTGCCATCTAGGTGGTGTGTTGCAAACCCATCTAGGGATTTGTCAGATGTGGCAAACCACATGAAACTTGCATGTGGTGTTGCAGATTGCACCACGCTCACCTATGGGGGGTCATGTAACGGAATTGGAGCAAAGGGAAACATCTCGTATGCGTTCAACAGTTACTATCAGCTGCAAATGCAGAATGAACGGAGCTGTGATTTTGATGGGCTTGGTATGGTCACTTTCCTTGACCCTTCTATTGGTGAATGCAGGTTTCTGGTTGGCGTTACGGATACTAGGTCTAGTTCTAGTTCTAGTTCTAGTTCTAGTTCTAGTTCTAGTTCCCCAGAATACAGGAGGTGGGTCATTGTTTGGATGCTGATTGCATGGAGGGTTTGGTTTTTTGTATTGTGAAAAGTGGTTTCTTAAGTGGGTTTTTCGCGGCCCCCTCTTCTGAAACTAAATGAATGCTAAGTATAGGACTAGGTGATAAATAAGTAGTATAGTGATCTAATGTAGGTGTGTAATTCAGGTATCATGCAAGAGACATGTGGTATTGAATTATCAAAATATATAATGTGTATTTTGTAGTAAAGAAAAAGAGTTGAATATAATAATACATGTTCACACCATCTTGTAATCTTGTAATTCATAGATTCAGTCGATCACACTCACACTAAAAAAGGAAAGGGGCCCCTTGATGTTCATAAGAAACTAAGAAGCAAGGCTCTAAAAGACTAAAAAATGAGGGGGGATTAACAAGGCGGCAGCCTGAACTTGTAAGTAGTGCAATCGCCAAGGTGGAAAGAGGCATCGGAAAGGGTACCATGGGCTCTCTTGTTGTCGTAACCGGGATAGTCGTCTTTGCGGAAGGGCAGAGTTTGAGTGAGAAGCAGCCCTATCTTGTGTGCTTTCCTCACTAAATCCCATTTGTTGTAAGGATGACCTTCCTTGTGGGTTATATGAATCTCTCCACCCTCTTTTTTCAGCAGAAGTTTAGCATTCTGCAGGAAACCCTTCACCAACCTCTTGTTCAACCTAGTAGTAGTGGTAGAGGTATTAATTATAAAATAATTATTAGGGGTTCATCCATCAATCAAATTCACATGAACAAAGTAGAAAATTTAATCAAATCAAATGATATTAAAAGGGCAATGAATGAATTAAATTGAATTGAATGAAAAGTAGTTATAATAAGTAGAGAGAGTGAGTTACTGGATCTGGCAGTAGCTATCCTCCCGGAAGAGAAAGCCAACATGAGGAAAGTTGTAGACAATCCTGTCAAACCTCTGAGTGCTGAGGAAGAAGTGTTGACTCATTTGCTTGGCGTCCACTCCGTAAATCACTATGCATCCCCTTTCTTCAAGCTCCCTCACATTCCCTATTGCATTACTGTACTTGCTATCAATCTTCTCTGCAAATAAATAAAATAAGAATAACAATCAAAATCAAAATCTTGACTGGAATTCCTGTCTTTTTTTCCAAACGCATAAATAAAATAAAGATTCAACCAAAAAAAAAAAAGAAAAAAGGAGGAGAGGAGGTTACCCTGGGAATCGAGAGAAGTGGCTACCATGTTGCGGGCAGATCCAAAATGGGTGGCTAAGGAAAGAGAGAAGGAGAAGTCTCCTTCTCCCACCAGCAATATCCTATGCCTCGATGAGTAGTGCATTCTCCATTTCTCTTCCCCTTCATCATCATCATCATCATCATCATCTTCTTCTTCTTCATCTGTTTCGACGTTTGATTCCCTTTCTTGGTATTCTTCTTCTTTTCCCATTCTGAATGTTCTTCTGATGATGGTTATGGTTGACTGTACTTTCTCACTTACCAACTATAACTGCCCTCTGCACGATTTCCACTGGACTTCCCCCTTCATCTTCCACCGTAGACGTAGAATATTATATGATATTTCACTTTTTCCTTTCTTTTTCTTTTTCTTTTTAGGACAAAATGTTCACTTTCTTTCTCCCGTAAGAAAGAATGAGGCATACAGTACGTACGCATAGGCATAGCAAATTAAAACAAAATAATCCCGAAATATAAATTTCTTCTTTTCTTTTCTTTTAATTTTTCTTTTTTCCATCAATACCTAGAAATGAATCATTGAAGAGGTATTTCCGCACTGGAGTGGACCCAGTCCGAGGAGAGCCGAATGGTTGGGTTTAAGTTAAGACTTGATTACAGGAGGACAGACAGACCTCAATCAATTCACCAAATCCAAGGTGCAATATGAATGAAGCACCAAAACAAATCACTTTCCCCCTCTCTCTCGTCTCTCCTTTATTCATGATATTGCTAACCTTTTCTTTGAAATTGTATGATTCCTGAGGAAAGTCGTGCATGAACTGAAGAAATCCAAGTAAAATTCACATTCGCCATCAAATCGGCCAACGATCTCTCTCTACTTCTATTGATGTTAAACTCAACATACCATCCAGTAAAATTCACATTCGTCATGCAAAACATAGAAGAAAACTACTATCAAGAACCAGTCAAAGGAGAGCAGCTATGGAGAAGGAAATTCCACAGCATCTCCAGTTCCAGGAAAGTCATACAAAAATCCCAAAGACCATTAATACATGTCACATGAGGATAGTAGGTTATGCTGCCGCTCTACCCTTGATACTACACAAAGCAAGATCCCTCCATATGAGTGCCATTTGCATCCAGTAGCCTGCATCAGTTTACCATAATACCCAACCAATCATACTACGTACAAGGCAGCAAGATAACCATTTAAAAGCAACATGTAAATTAATATATCTTACCAGGCATCATCACTTCTAAGAGTTTTCTTATGTAGACTGTTTAAGCTTAGTTAGCTCACTTAAGACTTCTTTGAGTGGTTGGCTGAGCACGCTTCTCGTAGTCTGGAAGGAAAAAAATTATTATTATTATAAACTAGTAGCTTCAAGTGATTGGAAAAACAAAAAAACTGTCGAATTAGCCAAGGGAAAATTGAATAGCTTTCGTAAGCACACTAGGAAAACAAAAATAGAGATAAACAGTCAATATGCAGAAATCCAAGAAGTAGAATTTTCAGTAACTTAACAGTTCCACGGGAAACTAATAGTTACAAGCATTATCATAGGCAGCTGGAAAGAAGAATGCATACATGGAAATGAAAAAATCCAAAGAGATCCATGGGAGACTCAGATGAAGGTTTCTGGTGGTTCAATCAGAGAGAGTAAAAAAGAGGAGAAGAAAGAAACATACAGAAACTAAAAATGGGGGAAAAGGAAACTTGAGAGAGAAAGACGAACGATGCAAGGAGAGGGAGAAAGAGGTGATATGGCTGTGAGTGAGGATCAAGAGATGGGAGATGTAACTTCTAATTAGTTTGACAACTATGCCCCTAAGATGGGGATGGCATTGATTAATTTTGAAGTTTAGTGACCAATTTGATGTTCAGACCAAAAACAAAAGTGACCAAATTGATGAGCTTCGCATAGTTCATGGACCATTGATGATAAAAGTACATCAGGAAATAATATCATTCCAATAAGAGATTGGCGGAAATCAATTTTTCACTTGCAATTAATTCAAGGAGTGAAAACCACTTATGCCTTTTTCAGCTTTTACATAAAAAACAAGAAAACTCTGACAAAATAGAAACATGGTAGAGATATTCCAGAGTAGAACTAAAGCATTAATAAAACAAAAAATCATATAAATATATTTAAACTACAATTTTCTATCTGGATCATTCAATATGGTCAAAGAAAATACTAGCCACAAATTACAATCTTCTTATGAACATTACTATACCTTCAAGGATGGTACTAGAGCAAAAACTTCATCAGCAGTTTCAGGACAAACATTGGCAATCACACTTATCTGCGGCAAGAAAATTAATATCAAATACCATTGCTTAAATTTTTAAAACTACTACCAAAGGTTGAGATTGTAACCTCGCCATCTGAGACACCATATTTTGTGAGAGCCCTAATATTCAAGTTAAGAGTTCAATGGCAAAGAAAGATATTCATCTAAACATACATATAACCTCGAGGAACAAATCAAGCATTCTCAAGCACGCACATACACACACGCCCATGAACATATAAATGTAAAGGAACCAATCAAGGATACTCAAGAACTTTTCTGACAGATTGGGGATTGGTATAGTGGCTGGTTCTTTTGGCGTACTGCAGTCCCTTGTCGAATGATCTGAAAGCAAACCAATTGGAGCACTTCATATACACAAAACAAACCTCAATTGCTATAACCAACAACCATTTTCTCAATCGCCATTCTTCTATTGAGAAAATAATTAACTTCATTCTTACACAGGGATTTTAATACTAGGATCTTTAGACAACAGGATCATTTGCTCCTGGATTCCTTGTAATATATCCGCAGCCTCACAATCCATCAGACATTTGGCACTCTGTGGCAGTTCTGCAAGCATTAACAAAAATGACAATTATTTGATGTAGGAAATATGAAACACACAGAACTGAACACTGAGATACTATAGTAGTCGGTGTATATTTAATTAGTAAGTAAACATAACATGTTATAGCAGAAAAATACTCTATAGCCAAGGAAAGTGCTCACCCTGCTCAATTTTGAGCTCCAGTGGCTGTGGTTCTTTCTTTCTGCCATTTCCAACCTTGTCTCCTTTTCCCCCTTTGCCCCAATCAGCTTTAAAAACCACATTTTGTGAAAAGGGAACAAGAAAACATCAGATGAGTGATCAAAACGGATATTCATCAGAACACTGAATTTCAAACAATATCAGACCTTTCCCTGAGGCAGCAGCTGGGTTATCAAATTTTGACGAGAAGTTGGATTTGGGTTCATGCAAACCTGTAAATTCAAGTACCAACATTATAGATGTTGACGATTGAAGAAGATAAGCACATGCATGACTAAAATATGAGAATAAGTAAAATAGGAAAAGATAGAGAGTGTAGAAACATGATCAACCTTCAGAATCGAACTGGACTTTTCTCCCTTTCTTGGACTTTGTTGAGCTATCATCCTTCCCTTTCAAGGAAGCTACAGAGACAGAATTATCTAATGTCTTAAAGAGAAAAAGGAAAAAAGAAAGGGGAAGAGTAGCATTACAAATTAAGAAAAGTAAAGAGCGAAGAAATAGCAGACCATCCTTTGTAGAAGGGGTAGATTTCAGTGAAGATTTTACTGCTTTGCCAGTAGGCAAAGAAAACCCTTTTCCTCCTTTCTCCGACATGGCTAGATTTTCTGCAACTCCGCTGAATGTTGGAAACGCCCTTTTTACTATTCACTGTGGAAACCTCGGAACGTTAAAGAAAACAAAATTGGGGGTTTAGGATCTTTTATTAGATACAAACGACGCAAAAGAACCCTAAACCCACGAAAAGAAAATAAAACAAAGGATACAGGGGAGGGGAGTAAGAAAGTCACCGGCGGGAAGGCCCGGAAATGATTACTGTGCTAAAAACCTTATTCCGGGTTTGGTTTGGAGTTGTGGACTGCTTTGTCTTTTTCGCTGGCTTTAATTTTGCTCTCGTGTTCTCCTCCTCCCGAGTCCTCCTGTCCTGACTGACTTCTTCTGTTGCTGCCTTGTGTCGAGAATGCACAGAGGCTAGGCTAGGCTAGCAACTTAGCAAGCAAAAGGCCGACGCATGTCACATAAAAAATTGGGGGGTGTAATAAACTGAATATCACAGTGCTATATTTTTACTTGATTTGGCTTATTTCACAGTGCTCAAATTTTAATTATAGGCTCAAGTTTGACTTGTTTCTTAAATGAATCGAGGTCAGCTTTGAAGTCTTGAATATTCATAACGTAGTGTTGATAGGCACATATTCACGATTCACACAGAATAGTTATCTTATTTTACATAGGCCAATTAAACCGGATTGGCAACTTTGATTTTATGGGACATTAATAAGCCTGATTAGTTTAGAAGTAGACTTATTTAGGATGACAGGATGAGTGCTTGCATATGTAGTTCTGGACCCCTTTTTCTTATTAACTTCTTCTTATAGTCAGTAAAACTAGCTATTCTGGTATTCCCCACGGCAAGAACCCTTTAAGTTTATGACACAAATGGTGAAGAGGGCTCATAACATAAGATCGTTGAAAACTGACAGATTTTATGAAAAGGGAAAACCTTAATTACAACAAGTGCAAAGGGAAGAAGGGAAGGTCGATGTTGATGTACGTTTTTGCTATCTATCTTTACCTTTGTCGCGGCCATGGTCCGATCTACTTCCCCTTTGTATCATCTTCTTAGCATCCAACTTGCTCCCAGATCCCGTTTCTAGTTGATGTTCTACTTGTTCTTGTATTTCTGTTGAACTAACAACCTTTCTTTCAGTTCCCACGGGAAACTTTCCATCTGATCTTTTTGTTTGCAAATGCAGCGGATAATCTTTCTTTCCAGCAACATTGGTTCTTCTTGTGCTGTGATCACCTCTACTACTAGTGAATTTATCATGATGATCTGCTGCTCCCAATTTTAGCTTACCATGTCCATGACCATGACCATGATGAATATCTAATTCTCTGCTAGTTGGAACTGTTTGTTTTCCTGTGGAAAAGAGCTCCTGGGACTGGGAGGGCATAAGTGGCAGTAGTTTATGTTTATGATGATGATCATGAGTTTCTGCTACCTTGGAGTTGGAAGCTCTGTCTCTGTCTTGTTCGAAGAAGAGGACTTGCACAACAGTCCTCAATGGTAGCCGCTCATTTTTCACAGCATGAGCGCGTACCTCGGGAGACAACTTCTGGCAGTCTAAAATGCGGCAGAGGCGCTTCTTGTCTGCCTTGCTCAGATCACCATGCTCCTGCTTAAGTTAATAATAAATATAGATATCATATATAATCAAGCAGGTAATGTTCATAGAGTTAATTGTTCTTAGCTTGCTCATTAATTTGATTATCATGTATTGATATTATATATGGCATTGGCAATGGCAATCGCATTCAGTTTACTTAATGAATCACCTTTAGATAAATGTTAATAGCCTTGTAAATGTCGTCATGGTCTTCCCTTGCAATATCTGGCAAAGCTTCAGCCAGAGATACCAGTTTTGAAACTGGCATGTTGGCATCCATGGCAACGACTTGAAGGTAAGAATCGATGAGCTTCCCAACCTTTCTCATTGTTCCCAAAAACTGGGCCCTGCTGCCGTTTAATTCGGAAGCAGAAGCAGCTGCAGGGGATTGTCTTCTCCACAGCACCAAGAAACTTTGTAAAACTGTCACAACCAAGTCAATATCGTAAAATTCTGGGTCAGTGGGTGAGTGTGATGGAGAAATCAGGTCATTCACTGTTGCCTCTTGGAGTTGTAGACTGGACCTCCTTAATAGTTCTGTCTTTGTCACTGGAGACACTCCTAAGTAATTTGCAACTATAAGAAGCCTTAGCAAGAATCCAACACAAACTGCTCTCTTATCTCCGGGAATCATACTCACAATGGTATCAACAATTCTTCGATTCTTCTCCATAAATTGCTCATCTGTTTGTGGAGGTGGTCTCGTGGTGTCTGGCAGCCAACGACAAGCATAGACGTGCAAAGCTTCACCAATGAGCTGCGGTGGCAGCATGTACGTTGATGCAACAGCGGTAATTATACACCGAAACAGGTCTACATCAAGGTCTGATATATCCTCTGTCCACCAATCCTTTGGGACAGAATGGTGTTGCTTTTTGGTGTAACCAGGTCTAGTATAAGTGTAGGACCATGAGACCTGCAATGCAAATTAAGATCAATTTAATCAGCATTGCTGCTGCTGACAGAAGAAGTGCATGCAATAACATATAAATGTATGTGTGACCTTTGCTGGAGGTGTAAGGATTTTTTCAACAATTGAATCAATGCACTTTCTGATGATTCCAAGATTCTCAGACCACTCTGGCAACTTTACTGTGGTTTCTAGTGTGGTAATGGAGTCCTTCCAACCTTCAAGAATGCACGAATTGAAGAAAGCCTCGAGTTTTGGAACAAAATTTCCCTTCTCTAATGACTCAGTCATTCGAAGGAACTTGGCAGCACAAAATGCAGGTACAAAGTTGTACGCACTGAGGTTAATCGTAATTCCATAACAGAACTTAGCACACAGTTCGAAAGCATCTTCACCTCCTGGAATATCGTGAAGCTCTATGCTGACCTTTTCAGAATCACCAGAGTCAGAGCAAAGCCGTTGTAAGAGGCCACATTTTGGAACAAGTGGAAACTGCAGCTAAGAAAGCACAATTATCTCTTGCTTTCCAAGAACAAGCATACATATACACAGCCCTTAGCTGCATGTTTTGCAGTAGTTTTCAGTGAAATATTGAAATGCTATTTCTTTTCCTATGGTCTTCCTTTCCTTTCTTTCTCCAGTTTTATGATGCTTTAAGAATACTTTATGCTTTAAAAGCACCACCATGTGCTAGACAGAAAAATACACAGGAACTATTGATCAATTGATCAGCAGAAAGATTGCACAACCATAGACTAGTATGCATATAGATTTGTGATAATCCATGCATTTGCACCAGCGAGGCACAGTACGTGATTCGTTATTCATACCTTATGGAGAAGATAACTGATGTTGTTAATTTGTATGAGAAGGTCGCTCGGTACATCTGAAATCACAGTCCTGCGCATACAAATGAAATCAGTTTCTTCTGGAAGTGCTGAAATTGTTGAGAGTACTGTGTGACAGCTCACAAATTAACAACATTTCGTATTAAAATCCAGTACACAGCTTTACTATACTATGTGAGTTGTGTGTGAATGCATACACATAGTCATAGATATGGGAAAATTCATTTCACACAATTTATGAAACAAGTCAATTAATTTCCACTCATATATGACGATGAGACAAAATTGGAAACAGCTCATAGTACCTGGTAGCTTCTTCTGTGCAGAAGGTGTCCGGCTTGGTCCCAATTTTCATGAACTTCATTTCTGGATTGGTACTTTCCTTTTAATACAAAAGATCAAACAGTTGTGCCTTCAAAAAAACTGCTGCAACAATATGCCCTTTCGGATGATTTCTGAAAGAGATTCAGATCCTAAAATTAATAATAATGCAGTTTCATCTGATTAATTAATACAAAGAAATGTATCGACTAGCTAGCTAGATTCAGTAGAAAGAAAGACCAAAGCAATTTGTTTCATATCAAGCTAATTCAGCTGAAACTGATCAACTTAGGAGATACTTACAAATTATGAAGGATTGCCGCCGAGGTACGAAGCTGATTTTAATATAGTTTCAGTAGCCGAATGAACATGCAAATTAGAATCGCCAAAATCCACAATCACGAAAATTAAAGAAAAAACGAAGAAGATGGGTTAGAAGAAGAGAAGAACAAAAATGCATATCGAAAGCTATAAACAAAAAGAAACAATAAATATAAAATTATGGAAATTCGATCATATCAGAATGAAGTTGTGAAGTAGACGTTATGGCCCTTACCTGATGATCATCTTTCCTCCAACAAGGTGTCTCGAGGACCCACCATCACGCATTGTTCCTGCATAGCACCCAGCTGCAAGTCCTTTAATTTATAGCTAGCTAGCTATTGGAGGAGGAGGGGGTTTTTTCCTAAATTACATCAATACAGAAGAAAAAAAGAAGTAATTTTTGCTCTCAGTAGTGTCTACTGAGAGGTGCTGGTATTAACAATTAATTAAGTGAATCAATATATATTAGAAGGGTGTCTGTCTACTCTCTGGCTACTCTTGAAGAGGCAAATGGAATTGAAGGATACTGGTTTTCCAGCCTTTGCTTGTTTGCCACAACACGAGCCATGCAAAATATTTTATATCTGAATCATTTGGAAGTTAGTATATATACATATATAAGTTGTTGAAGCTCTTTTAATTACGCTGAATCCCTCACTCTGACTCACTGACTGACGTACGTTAGGAAGGCATCAACCAGAAACTGATATAAATACCAACAACCTGATGACTGATGAACTTAGTAATTTTGAACTCATATTTACTTATATATATGCAATAATTAAAGTTTCATTTAAATGACATAATTATTAGTTTTTTTGGCCTGAATGTAAAGAGTGTGTGTGTGGATCATCAGGGGAAAGATTTATTCATATAACTTTTTATATGAATTCCTCCATCTCCATCGGAGTGAAGCTCTATATTTTTCATCAAATCAAGACTCTAATCAATGCACAAAAAACATGTATAAAATGCAAGAAAGGGAAAGAAGAATCTCTCTTTTTCAAGACAATTGGTAGGGCACCATTGATCGATACGATTGGTTGAAATGGGAGATGGATAGTGCTAGCGTGGTCTGTGCTTATACAGACAAGTGACGGTAAAGAGAGAGAGAAGCAAGCATTATATGTGTATGTATTATGTATATGTATATATAATGTGGCACAACACGCGGTACCAGTTATCAGATGGCTAAAAAGGCCTTGAGATTTTTCTTCCAAGTAGCAAAGTACGACTGCACGCAAATGCAGAGAAGCCTAGTAGCTTACAAGAAATTTTTGTTAAAGGTAGCTTTATACTTAGCTAGCCGGCCAGCTAGAAGCCTAGATCCCCAACACCATAAACAATATATTCACTGTATTAATTCACTTTTGACATTGATAATAAAGAGCCCCTCCACAAGCTCCACAAGGTTTTGTTCATTTCTATTTTGTCCATATTCAATTGGAATTAGTTTCTTTTTTAACTTTTTGGACATTTTATACTTATCCTCTAGCAGCTAGCAAAGTATGGCAGAATCTTTCCTTCTTTCATCTCTTCTGTGCGTACGGTATAACAGAATGGAAAGCCACTAGTGATGCAGTGCACTAAGGGAGATGTTTAATGACTGATCTATTATTGGAGTAATTGGGAAGTCAAGAAGTCTTGGGTGGTGCAGGAGAATAAATTTGGATGCATGATACATGTATCTTAGTTAATATTTGAGTCCTTTCATTTGTTTCTGTTTTAGCTTAAATAATAGTTTGTAGGCTATTGTGGAGATGATCAATTATTAAGAATTTCAATTGTAATGTCAAACAGAGCTATGCTCTTTCTATTATCAAAGACTCCTTCTCTTTGAGCGTCTCATGTAATTTCTAGCTATTTCGCATTAGCACTTTGTATTTCATCAACTAGCTAGAGATGTATTTGTACGTACATAAGCTATAAGCTAGCTAGCTAGATTATTATCAATCAGATCACTCCAATCTCCCTCAATTTATTATATACTAATTAATTAACAGATCATATTAGCAATCAATCAGTGGTGGGACGACTCAGCTAACGACTTACAGAAATGCTAATTCCGGTGAGTAGTGATAAAAATGAAATTAATAAGAAGGTACCGCAAGTAAACAATTGAAGTTGTTGAATTCCAAGGCAGCAGCTAGCACCATTAATTTACTGTAGAAAAAAGCAGCAACTTTACCTTGCAACTTCAAGTGAGTGGACCGATTGGATTGGATTGGAGAAAGCAAGTGTAGCTGCAGAACCAAATGAATATCCAATTAACATATATAATTTCTGATGGGAACCCACTAGCCAGCAACAAGGAGAGCAGGGCTTAATATATATGCTTGGGTGCAAATGAACGTGAGATGATCAGATGCATATATGCAACGTGAAATAGAATATTTCATGCATATAACCCTCGGAGAGAGAGAGAGAGAGTAATTATGGGTTTCTGTATAGCTAGCTAGAAGCAACTACTGTGACTCTGTGAGACACCAACTAAAGAGAAATGAGTCCCGAGAGAGAGAGAGAGAGAGAGAGAGAGTAATTATGGGTTTCTGTATAGCTAGCTAGAAGCACCTACTGTGACTCTGTGAGACACCAACTATAGAGAAATGAGTCCCGAGAGAGAGAGAGAGAGAGAGAGAGAGTAATTATGGGTTTCTGTATAGCTAGCTAGAAGCACCTACTGTGACTCTGTGAGACACCAACTATAGAGAAATGAGTCCCGAGAGAGAGAGAGAGAGAGAGAGAGAGTGCGTGCTTGTGTGGTTGGTTGGGATTAGTCAACATGGTAATGTATGAAAAGCACGCACATTATGATAAACTGGTTGAATAGAAAAAGAAGGGAATTCCTTATAGATATACATTGGAAAAGACAGGTCTCTTCTAGCGAACGCGAACGCGAACGCGAACAGCTCTTGTCTAATTTTCTTCTTCTTCTTCTTCTCTCTCCCCAGGACAGGATCCAAAGGGTCCAAGCGAGAGCAGTCCAACAGCTATAGGCTGGCTAGCTTGAAATTGGTGCTCTATGATTGAATCAGAATTATAATTCAAATGAAATCACAAAAAGCATGCAATATTGCCAGATTGTGCAAAGATTGCAAGTGGGAAGTGAGAAGGCCTTAAAGAAAGAGAAAGAAAGAAAGAAAGAAAGAAAGAGAGTGCTCCTTCCTAGTGGCATGGGGTGGAACATGCTCTATCATGTGGGACCATCTTGTTCATCTCTAGCCAGTCCTCCTTAGCCTAGTTAGCTATATATATATATATATATACCTTTTATGTATATATATATATATATGTATATGACATTGAAAGAAAGAAATTAAAGAAAGATCCCTCCCTCCCCAGCCTTGTCCTTGTTTGTGTGTATGTGAGTGAGTGTGTGAATTAATCTTATTTCCTCATCATGCTTTCCCCCACTATGTAAGGTATATTCTTCTTCTTCTACTGTTGTACACTGCACAACCCCTTTCCATTAGTTGGTTGGCTTGGGTCCTCTATCTCTCTCATTTTGCATGCATGTCGGCCACGTGTCTTTTCCTGCACCGTTGGTTACATCTCGCAGTCACGCTGATGGGATTGCCGTGCCTTCCCCTTGTCGGTTGCTTCCAGGGCCAGACACAGACAAGTACTTCTCCCACTCTCTCTCTCTCTCTCTCTCTACTCTACACAAAACACAAGCACTCGTGTGCATTGTGCAATATTATATTCCCACGTGTATGTGTATCGCTTTTTGGATATTTCATAATTAATGATGCATGAGATGATATACGATCATTCTTAAGGGTCCCGGCCCGTCCCTTCAATATAATCTCTTCGTTTGAATTTGATTGAAAGATGGCTGAGCTAACTGTTAATATTATTCATTTCCAACTCTAAAATAATTTAATTTCTGCCACTTCGATTCTAACCTAATTAAGTGCCAAGCGGCCCTAGCCTTATCAAGTGATGATCGATCATCATGATATCATCACTAAAGTCTAAACTAAAGTGGCGATTAAGGTACGTAAATTACTTTCCAGTTTCTTAATTAGATCTTGTTATCATTGTCCATTATCTAAAACTAATCTCTGCAAAATCCCAACCACGTGTGCCTTTTTTGTTATGAGAGAGTTTCTTTTTTCTTTTTACTTTTATGTTAGCTATCTACTACGTGCCCATATATAAGATGGAGAAAATCTCCCGTTATTAAGTTTATAAGAAATTATAAAATGTTACTGTACTAGAGCCAAATATACCCATTACCTGTCCAATCCAATCTTGTATTATATGTACTACTAGTCTACGATTACCGACATCTGCTAAATTACTAACACAAAATAAGTGATGATCTTTCCCTTCTTATTAATTGTTTCCTTTAGTTTCTCTCTATATATATAATATGTTGTTGCTCTAGCTAGCTATAATTTCTTTTAAATTTTGTTTTTTTGGTAATTGAACATTAATCTCGATCCAAAATGAACGCAATTTAACCTACCACGGCAAGAAACTAGTTACAGCCTAGATAATAAATGTCAACTTGTATAATTGCAATGCATGTGCAGGTGATGGCGGTAGTCAATCTCTACTCCATCATAATGGGCCTAGCCTCTCTAGCCTCTCTAGCCTCTCTAGCCTAGTAGTAGTAGTACTGAAATTTCCAAAAAGCAAGGATCTTTCCTCATTTGGGCAATCAGGTTCAGTTGGGTACACCCCATTGCCCATATGCCACTTTGATTTCTCTTCCTGTTAATTATTTGCCAACTTAATTGCTTTTCAGGAATTCGCATTTTTCATGTCTATACTCTACCTCTACGTACATACATACATGTTTGTATCTGTGTATTTTGTTTGTATGTATGTGTGTATTTTGTTAGAGCCACACACCCTTGTTTCTTTGTTTGATCAGGTTTCAACCAATTCTTTTTTTCTAATTATGCAAGTATCATACACAAAAACCAAGCTACTCGTCACCTTGAACTTCATATTTTAAGGTAACAGGAACAGGAGCTAAAATCTTTAGCGGAGGAGGTCAAGGGGCAAAAGACCGACGCCACTTTCGCAAGTATAATGCAATGCAAATTGCAGGATGGTGACATTATGACATACCCTATGTCAGTCAGTACAAATATATCATATATCATCAAAGACATGTGATTAGTAAAGCCAGGATTGGCACATATTTATAGTTTTTCTATGTTGTTTCATGCCATACTAACGTTTCAAATTTTAAGTCTCTAACAAGCCTACGAACCGAGGAGATACAGTAACAAAGATATTGACAAACCCTCTCACTACAAAACTATGTCCCCACCCCACACACCAACCCGCAATCAGCATCTCACCACAAACTTACATGCGTTCGAAGCCACAATCTCGGACATTAACCAACTTGGAGATTATGAGTCAGGCAAGCCAATACAAAGGAAATTTGTTGATGAGCTATAACAAAAATCCCATTCACAAGGGAAGCAAGACCATATAATTTTCATGGAAGGTTTTCAACCTCCAAAAAAGAGAACCAAATAAATCATCCACTGAGTTCTTGCTTCAATCAATCACCAAATAAATCATCCTCATCATCATCAGCGTGGCTTGAGTTAGTTCCAACCTTTACACTTAATGCCTTCTCATCGGTTTCTCTACTTGGAGAACCTTGTTTACCACTAGAACTAGCAGAAGGATATGCCCAGGAAGAACCCACTTTGCCTGAAAAAGAGTCTCCATAAAGGTCATCATAAATCCCACCCTTTGGAGCAGTTTTGACTCTATTTAAGACCTGTTGTAATTTTTCAGTCATGCCTTTTTGGGAAGAATTGTCTTCCTTTGCAGATAATTGCTCCTTTCCTTTGGGTATTACTGTTATCTGCACAAGGGATTCATATTTCCCAACAAGACTTCCTTCTTTTACACCTACTGGACCAGGTTCAGTCTCTACATCCACACCATCTGAAACCCCGACTACTTCAACCAGCTCTCCACCCACTTGATCCCTGAATGACACTCTTGCCTTCCTGATTCTCTTGGATGCTCTCTCTGGCTGCGGGGTGTCACCTTTTGCGCCTGAGTCACCAGACTCACGGGACATAGGCCCTATGTCAAACCTGGTCAGACCATGACGATTTAGTAGTGTATTATAAGCCACGACAGCTTCTTCATCAGAGGGATCAGGAGGCGGAGGCAGATTAACCTCTGCAGGTGGTGAAGGACGAGGAAAAAGAGCTGCATCATTCTTTCTCAAGATATAAATTCTAGTTGATGCAGCAAACCGCAAAGACTGCCCCACTTCAAGCTCAACAGGGGTATCTTTAGTCACTCGTTCATTTGCAACAAAAGTGCCATGTGCAGATCCCAAATCAATTACATATATGCTGCAGAAGGGATAAAGCTTGTAAATGACACTAAACAGAAGAAAGAAAACTCCAACAGCATCACAAAAAGGTCAAGCAATCATCCCAACACTATCATGGATATGAAAGGACATGGCCATGGCCATCATGAAAGCATGGTGGTGAAATAGGTCAATCCCTGAAACTCCTAGATGATCAATTGAATCATGAAATTGATGATTCAGTTCGTAAGGCTACTCTTGTTTTGTCTAAAAATACAAACCTCTTCTTTAAATCTAAAACCATTGAAATAGTCAACCACCTGGCTCTATAATCTAAGATTGGAAAGATAAAAGTTAGTAGAGTATTTATTTTGTTCATTTTTTCTTCACAATTTTCTAAGAGTTCTGAACCCTCATGCAGAACAAACTTTAACTTGGTCAACAAAACCTTCACTTGATCAACAAAACCAACAGCAAGCACACAATACAGATATGTACAACCAGCTGGAATTCAAGCATAAACTAATTACACCAACATATAAATAAAAAGATTATATGCAATTGAAGAAAATAGAAACTGAATGTAGATGATGTAAAAGGAAAACTGAGAAAAGGTGTGACTCACCTTCCATTCTTGTGAGGAACAACAACGGCATGTTGGCGGGAAACGGACTGATGATCCAGCACAAAGTCACAAGTTTGAGATTGGCGGCCAAAGATGTTGCGACGCCTATCGAGAGTAATGCGATCAAGAACCTGACCTTCCTTGACAACCTCAAGATAATACACACCGGGGCGGGGGTCAATTGCCCAGTCAGGGGGCTGCCAAGTGGACTGACCCCCACCAACCTGAGTGAGATGCTGCTGCGGAGTCTGCCCGACCCCCACGAGAGGGGCAGCCTCGGGCGGTGCAAGAGGGGGAGGAGGAGGTTGATGTTGGGCTTGATGCGAATGCGAAAGAGAGGGCGAGGGAGTGGATTTGGAATTGGAATTGGGATTGAGCGAAAAGGGTTCCAAGGACTGAGCTTTCTTAAATCGATCAAGGCCAGCTCTTCCGAACATGATGCAATTCTGTAAATGAGTCAGGACTCAGGACTCGGGAGAAGGATGAATGTACGTGAAATCTGAATTCTGAAAGTTATACACACACACACACATATATATATAGAAGCATCGGAGTCTCACACCAACAACCACTGAATCACATCAATACAATTCTATTCTATTCTATTTCTAACTTGTAAAATGGAGTGGAGCTACAGTCTACCGAAGAAAGAGATAGAGGGAGAGAGAGTAGAGAGTAGAGAAGAGAAGCCTCCTCCTCGTCCTCCTCTTCTATAACCTGCTATAATCTAATAATCTCATCCCAAAGCCTAATAAGCAAAATAGGCAGATCTCATGTCATCATCTAATCTAACCACCAAAATTACAGTTTTTTCGAGAATCGATGCCGAATGAAAGCAAAAGCAAAATTATAGGAATTTCCAAGAGACTTACGGAGCTGTCTCGCAGTCTCAAACTCTCAGTCTGAGAGTCTCGAAGCCAAAACAAGGTAGAGAGGCCTTGGACTTGGAGGGAGGGAGGGAAGAAACTGCCTAACCAGAGAGCTTCAGAGGAGACTGGAGACTGGAGACTTGAGAGGGCGAACTAAACTAATAAAGGGGCCTTTGAAATTCCAAGCAATTTTCATTAACAACAACAACTAAACCTAAAAGCCGCTGCCTCCTTCCTCTGCTTTGCTTCCTTCCCTCCTCCTCACTCTGTTTTTTTTTTTTTTTCAATTTAATTGCTTCCGCACTCTGTTGTTTGTTTTGTTTTTTGCCCTAGATTCTGGATTGGGATTTTATTACTTTGTTTATTTTTATATTCTTTTTTAAACTTTTGGGGCTGGGAGAGGTAATTAAATACAGCAACCAATACCCTTTGTTTTCAAGAATAATGCTGGAGTCTGGAGACATCAAAACTTTTGGATACCAACTGCCATCTCCAAGACTAATGTTGGAGACATGACATCAGTTGTTGGCATTCAATTTCAATACAAGGCAGTTATGATTCTAATTTGGGTACTTGTTCTTATGCTTGACTCTCTTCTTTGTTAAACTACAAAATGGTTTAAGTAATAAGTCTTCCAAGGATACTTGGAATAATCAAGTTCCATTTGTTACAATTCCAAGTATACTTGGAATAAGGATACTTTGGAATAATCAAACACGAGTGTCAAAAATATGAAGAAGAAGAAATGGCTTTCGGTTTCACCAAAAAAAAAGAAAAAAAGGAAAGGCTTTTGGGCAAAAATAAATAATCGAGTTCAGCTGTTGACCAAGAAAATACTAAATAATGAATTTATGATCGCAAGTTAACAATTGGCCACATCACATTAAACTACAATGTGGTACTGCTATTGAAACAAAAACAAAAAGAATAATCCCACTTTGAGCTATTCTAAAAGAATGATCACCATTCACCACCACCAACACCAAGTAGGGCTGCTTTTTGCCAGAAATGGCAAGACCACAAAAACTAGACCTGCCACTTCCATATGTACTACCAAGGTTGAGGAATTAAACCTTCATAATATGATGACCACGTTATTGCATAATCTCTGCACCTGTTATTCACAACCACCACGCAACTACCAAATACCCATCCTAAACTAGTCCACATTTTTATCTCAAAGCCACAAAGCACTGTTTCATCTACTCCAGGACCACGGTACCCGGAAGAGCATCTAGATACACGCTTACACCTTCAAATCCATCATACCAATGTTATTGCACCACCCCTGCAAGTCAATGTTTAAACACACATTTGGATGGTCTCCAAGCTGACATAATGCAGTCAAGCTCAATTCTGCTAGACTTGGCCATAGAAAGATGAAATATCAGGAAAATTGTGCTTTTTCTACAGCACTCTTCATGTCAAATGCCTACAATCCCAGAAATGCACCAAATCCACCCACTATCTTGTGAATTCCTTCTCAACTACACTGAAGGTGTCTTTCAGGCGATCTTGCAGATTCTTTAGTACATTTTTTGTAATTCTTTTCTGATGCCGAGTGCCTTTGAGCCACTCAACCCCAAAGTATACTTTTACCTGGCATCCCTTTGAGTTTGAGGGCAAATCCTCAATTTGGTATCGAATGTGAAGCTGCAAACGATGCAGGGAAAAAAGGTGAGTCAGGGGGACATTTACAAATACTATTATTTAAGCAGAGTTCTACATAAGTTCCATGTCATTCATACATTGAAATAGTCACCAAGCGGAACCGCATGGAGGGTCGAGACCTCTTGAACAAGCCAACCATTTCTTTCAGAAAGGCGGGACTTTTGCTGAGTACTAGTCACCTCTCCTCTATACTGGGAAACACGTTTATCAAATCTGTAATATATCTGCCTCACACACACATCACCCTTCTCTGATTCCCATGGGGTGTAAGAATAGTTAAGACAACCAGCTTTCTCCATAACTCTACGGTCCAATTCACCTCCACCAAATAGCTCAACGAAGAAATTTGTCTAAAATTGTGAACAAGACAAATTTGATGGTCAGTGAAGACATATGTTAACACAATGCAGACACTAAAATAATCAGAACTGAAATCTGTATAGTCATGAGTGCCACACACACAGCACATAATCTAGAAGGAAGCTTTAATTTAACTATTCTGATTCCATGAGGCACAGCATCCGCAGAAGGGGAAAAGCAAGGGTTTTGCTCTAACCCTAAAGCAGGTGAGATGCAGATATATTCTTAGTTGCACTAAGGGGGAGAGAGGGAGAGGGAGAGAGAGAGAGAGAACTCACAGGAACTGAATGAGCAGAAGAATAAACCTCAGACATGCTGACATCATCAAGGCCTAAGAAAGACCCACTCTCTTCATTTTGGATCTTGACTTCAGATTCTTCTTCAACTATTTGCACCTTCTGCTCAGGACTCAAAGATCTAGCCTTCCAAAGAGCCATGATTGTCCTATTCAGAAATATCAGATGTTTGAGTCAACATGAGATATGATATCATGTTCATTCTTTTACTTTCGTAGAACATTGTTTTCATTATCAACTCTTATCCTATGCAAGCATCAATTGCTCAGAAAATGGTATAAGGTCGGTTGAGATGGGATACTCATGCACAACAGATAACAATATTAAACAATTAAAGAAGGCAAGGGCAGACCAAACATATGCTGAAAGATATCTAGTTTAATTAAAAAAGAAGACAAAGGCAGACCAAACATATGCCAATCAGATGATATTAAACAATTAAAGACAAAAAGCTCACAAAAAATAATAAAAAAGTTTCAATTTTGTAGAAGTGAATGCCAGAGTATTCTAGGATGCCCTTCAAGTACCTGTGCGCTACATTGAAAGACACAAAGGACTGGAAATGGAACTTCAGCCTGCCTTCCCCATCTTGTGTCTTTGCACCATGCCTTGCATCCATACCTCTACCCGGCCGCAGAGTCATGACTACAATTGGACTTCCCATAGATGACAGAGTAGGAGGAACAACTTGAATCTCTTCTATATCCTCCCAGAGGAAAAAAAACTTTGTCTTGTGACCAAATAAATTTGCATGGAATCCAATTATTCTCGCAGAAAGAAATAGGCGGCCCTGCAAGGGAAGAACTGTAAGTGAAATTTAACTAATGATGCATATAACAGTTCATGAGGAGCAAAAGAAAAGGTTACTTTCTCTAGGTATGGATCAAAAAAATAGAAAGTCTAGTGTTAGGAAAATTTCAACAGATGTGTAACCATATTAACGGCACCTGCAGGGGCATTTTTCGTTTCAAGTGACAGGTAAAGTCGTTGATGAGAAATTCCTCTGGTGGAAGCCCAAACAGTTTTTGAAAGGCTGAATTTGTTTGAGGAGACCGCACGGTTATCTACAATAGGTTAATTAAAAATCATGAGAAGGAATATATGAAAGGAATGTAGAACACTACTAAAAAGGGAATATAAGAAAAAGAACACTGGTAATATGAATTTCAGAAGTATGGAACTGCTGTACCTTCTTGCCCACCTCCTTCTCCATCTTTGTTAAAAAGTGATTTGCAACGTTGCCACCTCTTGTGTTATTTAAGAAAATTCTCAGATGGAGTTTTGACTGGCATGCCTGAGCTAACTTTCCTCGAAGAGGAACCCACAGATCAGCTAAATCTGATATATTAGTTTTTACAAAATTGATTTCAGCATGGCCCAGAGAGATAGCTTCATCAAAAGGTCCATCAAAATCATAGATTTCCACATCCAGCACAGAAGGAGGTTCATCCATTGCATCAAACTCAAATATTTCTGCGAGCAACAAGAAATCAATACCTAGATTTAGTTTATAAATGTTGCATAATCTAAAAATATATTCTAAATTTTAGATTGACATTTATAATCAATTATATACTGAAAAATGTCTTCAGAAGAAGTATAAATTCAAAATCAAACATAGTTGATTAAGAATAAAATGAAAATCACCATTCCATGTGGGATCGCATTTCTGGAACTTGATTGAGCTGGTTCTAGTTTTCCCATTGCAAGTAAACACCACATACGGATCAGAGAACCCACTTGAATCAACAGCTGCTATGTTACTTCCTTCGATCAAGGCAACAGTTAGTAGCCAACCATCTCCTTGGGCTTTGACTCCATGATCACTGCCTATTATTAGACACACAAAGAAGATAAAGGATAAATCACATTTGAAACAAAAGAAAAAAGAAGATAAACATAGAACAGCTTAGAAACAGTTCGGGACATGCAAAGTTTGTGTCCCCCAAATAGAGGAGAAAAATAAATGATGAGCAAGCAAAAGCAGTAAAAAAAACAATGCAGTTCTCTATTTAAAAAGTGGAATTTATGGGAGTAGATAAAAGACCAGGCATGTATAGTGATACTGATAGTAATTGTTAATCTATCTAAATCATTCCCGTACAATGAATGAATGAATTGTGTAATAAATAAGGATCAGACTCTCAGCTAGAGAAAGTTAATATGATTAACAGGATAAGAGTCTGTTGTCGTTAATAAGAATGAGCAACCACTAAGATTGATGTACCTTTTTGTGCTCTGGCCTGCATGAAGCGTGAGATCAACCCCAGCACCCTTTCTCCTTGAAGAACCAAGACACCACAGACAATGAATTCACCAATTGAATCTGGCAAGTCAAGCCCAACAAACTCCAGCCCTTGAATAGTGCTGGGTGTGGCAAGCCAAATATGTACAAGCATATACAACCCAATAAATACTGTGGAGACCACAGTGAAATTGCCAAAATATTGTACTGCCAGCTTCCAATCAGACTGGGGTTCAGCTTGCAGTGATGCCAAAACCTGGTCCTTATTGGACCCAAGATCCTTTGAATCAACTGGCTTAAAATTCTGGGACAATAAAGTAGCAAACTGGTCAAAACTATCCTTTAAACCTTGTCGGGCTCCATTTTCTATCATTCCTTTCATCATGGTGCTCTGCAGAAAATTCATCCGCCAAGATATTACCAAACGTGAAGATTGTTCTCCTGATGGCAGCTCAGGCCCAGGTGTAATGCAGTAGAGCAATTCTGTCCTAAAAGTGCGCCCATACGGAACATCGGGAGTGCTTACACTTGCTAAAACTGCAAAAACCTTCCCGTCAGCTTTGAGATACACTTGGTCCTCAGTTGCTTTGCAAGCCTTTATCAACTTAGTTGCTGCCTTAACATATGTAACTACTCGTTTTACGCTCTCGCTGCTGTTATCTAATTTCCACGGTCCTACTTCCAATTCTGTAGTTCCATGCACTTCTGCGAGTGATTTTGGAAAACCTGAATCTGGTGAAAATAGGAAAGTGTTTATGTCTTGGGGTGGAGTGACATACAATTGATCTAGAAGCACTCCTCCTGGTAAGTTGCTTGGAGTTTCACTCACTTGATCTCGTGACTGCATTGTTCTCATTAGTTCTTCAAATGTAGCGGAAGAGGACTGATCCTCAGAACTGCTCTCATAAACCTCGGACTTAGCAGTTTCAGCAAGCTCGGTCAAGTCAACTCTGCTAGAGGAAGCTGAAACTGTATCAGGATTTTTATTGAACATCTGAGCTATTCGACCAGCAAAGGTCTTCTGCGTACAAAGCTTCTCTTCCTTAAAGGTTGCGGTTTCTTCTTGTCTCACTCTCACAGGAGAAGCTGATTCAGATGGACCACTGAAAGACCTTGAAGGTGATTCAAATCCTATGTCACCACCCTCCGAAGCTGAGTCCGCAAATGAATTGTTTAGAGAAAAATGTATCGTCAAAAGAATCTCTCCTGTGAGGGAAAAATGTATATATATTATGACAAGTAACTACAATTCACAAATAGGCACTGCCAGAAAGCAATTTGCAATTTTAACTCAAATAGCCGAAGAACATCTCAATTTGGGACAAGAATCCCAAGTTTTGTTCTAAAAAAAGAGGCATGAGATGCAACTTCAATTCAAAAATAAGCCAATGAAGCTGATTGCAACAGTTTGAACTGGGTATATTGACAGAAAGTGATGCAATGCAAATCCTTACTAACAAATATCAACAACACACAGCAGAAATGAATAATAATAGATAGCACAAGACAAGAAGGAATGAAGGAATGAGGAAGGTTTAACATTTATGTCATCTATGGGATAAGAAAGAAGGCAAGTGGGTAGGTAGCGTACCACAATCTTTGTTCTTGGACTTTTTACTCTTGGGTTGGAGAGGGTACCAAGCAGTTTCAAGGGACTTATTGTGGGCATCGAAGACTTGGGAAACAGGGAGCTTGACACACCCAACAAAGTCATCGTTAAAGTACTTGTCTTCATCCAAAACAGAGATGAGTAGCTCCTCATTGAGGTCCTCAACCTTCAGGGCAAACTCTTCTCCCCAATATGGGTTTAAGGTCTTCTTCACCACTTTGGTCCTGAACTTCTGCTTTCCCAGCTGCACCTTCACATACGGATCACTTAACCCGTTTAGATCCATTGCTGGCAGATCTCGAGCCCCCATTACTTGAACCACCAGCTTCATTTTTTATCTTTCACTCAGATAAAAGATAAATATTCTTCCAATCCTTTGTCTGTATGTATGTATGTATGATCACAATTTACAACATAAGGATAAAATTAAACAAATGAACAAAACAAAAGCGAAGCCAATAAGATAAAATTGATAAAATTGATCAAATAAATGGGTGGGATTATGAAATGTACGAATAGAATGAAACGAATGACATCATGAAAAGGGAAACTTTAGGAGAAAAATCTCCAACTTGTCACGCACTGGCAATGCGACGAAAATCGCCTGATCGTTGGAGCTTCTGAATACCCGAAATTGATAATGCTAATAACAATTTGAATTCTTTATTTCTCTGAATTAAACGGAAATTTGAAAACACACAAACAGAATGAACGAGAGAGGAAGAAGAGATCGACACAACAGGAGCCCAACGGCCAAACCCTTTAAAATTAGAAAGAAAGATAATTTCAGAAGAAGAAGGGAAATTTATCATCAATCCAATCCAAAATGGAAAGTCTGTTTTTTGTTTTTGGGGGGGGGTCAAATGGATGATCAAAATGGAAAGCTGGGCGAGTCAGGAAGGGGGATGTTTGAAGTTTAAAGCTCGGAGACTTTTGGCTTCCTTTGTTTTATTTTAGTTGCCTTATTATTTTTGTTCTTTTTTCTCTCTGGTTCAATTTCCTACTGCGCGTAGGATGTTTGACTTTTTGACTTTCTCAATTAAAATACATTTTCATTTTCTATTTTTAAGATTTTGCAAGTAATAGATTGCGTATTAATAATACTAATAATTAGTTGAGTGTCTTTGTTTTGCTACATCATTCAGTTGATTGCAATTTGCAGCTGCTTTGTTTAAAAAGAATGATTAGAGTATGGGGAATTTCCCATGAGAGTCTTTTGTCACGTTTCTTTTGTATGTTAAGTTGGGTTGGGCCTGCCTACCTCTCATTACCCAGTCCCGCCCCGTCCCGTGAGGTATTATTACAAATTACAATTTTCAATTCTCAATTTACAACTTACAACCAGGAAGGAATTACTAAATAACTTATAGTTAATTTAAAGAGGTACCAAAACCAAATGAAAAATAAATGATATTGACTTATTTATTTATTTATTTATTGATGTGTCGAAATAAAGGGTAAACTGCCGAATATCCCCCAGAATTATCACGCTTGTCAAAATCTCCACCCTGAACTTTTTTCTGCCAATTTAGCCCTCATATTAAATTTTATCGCGCAATTTACCCCCTACCGTTAGTTTTCGGCAATTTCCATCCAAATCTCGGTAAAAAAAAGTACCATATAAGGCATATGCTTCATTGTTGAATAAAAAATTAATTTTTTTCTCTGCTTCTTCAAAAAGCTCAAATGGGGGAGAAATTAATCGGGGGGAGGGGGGAGAGGGGATTCTGGTTTCTGCAGGTGGGGGGGGGGAGGGGGGGGGGGGG